TTTGGATTGGTTTTTGTCGTTGGTTTTTGTTCGTGTTTGTCTTTTTTTTTGTGCCACGTACCTTCCACGGTTTGACAAGTAACCGAAATACAGAAAATGAAAAATGATTCGGTTGCTACTGCTCCTATTTTTTTGCTCTCCCTCTAATTGGGTTGGTCTTCGAATTTATTTCATCAAACGAGCCATTTATCCTTTTGCATTACGCTTGTTATTATATGGCACTCATGGCAAAAGTTAATTTGTCTCGAAATATTTGGCCGCCACTCAAGGAATCGTTCAACCGAAAGAAATAGCGAAGAGAGAATAAAAGCTTGGTTGGATATGAAATCACAAATAAAGGCATGACGCAAATGTTAACAAACTCATAAGCGCCAAATACAATGAACGAAATAAAAGGAAAAAAAATTGCAAGCGAACGCGTTCACATCAGACGACGGCAACAACGAGGACGATGACGACTATGTCGACGACATCTAATCAATATATCGATTCAGTTTTTTCCACTCATGTTTTGTGCACGAAAATTGCTTTCCAGCGCGATATTATTTGTGTGCGCGTTTGTATTCATAAATTTTGTATACTCTGTGCTGTTCTACCCGTGGAGCAGTAGCAACAGCAGCCGCATCGCTTTCAATCGCTGTCGTATGCTGTAGCAAGAGTGAGACAAATGACATTCAAAACACATACAATCAACCAAAATCGTATTACTATTTTATGTGTGGCGATGGTTGAAATCATCGGTTTCAGTCCTACATTTCGAGCACAAACGATAACCCCATAACTCTCTCTCTCTCTCTCTCTCTCTCTTTCTCTCTGTCTCTCTGTCTCTCTGTCTCTCTGTACACACTTCACATAAACGGTTTACGGTTAAAACGTTGCTACTCTTATGGATCACATACACCAAATTAAATTCCCTTTAGGATTCGATGCGATGCGAACCAAACCGTCGATTTCAGGTTTGGATTTGGCATTTTCCATCCGTTGTGTGAATTCTCCCATTGGCATAGGAATAAATTTTACGTTTGTGCCGAAATGAAATGAAATATACGCAGCAGTTTGAATGCAGTCGAGTCGAAAGTAGCGACTGAGCTGCTCTCTGTGAATTTTCGTTCCGAAACGAATGAACAAACGACCGACCAACAGAAAAAACAACCCCAAATTGGCAGTTGCGTGGATTTGTGATGCTGCGTCTATGTACATTTGGCCCATGTATATTTATGTATTATTTTCCAACGCTTGTCGTAAAAGTTATTACGATTTATATATATAAATGTGTGTATTTCGAGCCCTGCAGGAGTACAAAATGGTCGTGTGGACCGAGACACACGCACCAACAATTTCTTCACAAATGAAAGGAAAAAAAACGAAACGTTTTGGGGTGTTGGACAGACTTGTCTTGCATCAACGTATAAAGGTTGTTGTTTCTAAGCACGAACATTTGATTTTGATGTAAAAAACTAATACTCATGCACTTTTTTGCACCCAACACTCGCTTAGAAACATCTATGCTTTCTACTAAACCGAATGTTCGAGGATTATACCAAGTCTGTCGATGCTAGAACAATAGACGAACGGCAGTAGCATCAGATGAGAAAAAAACATACCCATTTTTCGGCTCTTGTCTCCGCCATCATGACATTGCACTGACAAAGAGAATGCTCATGATAAATCTTATCGATTGTTCAGCCAGTTTTTGTGCGCACTGTGCGTCATATAGATAACGAAGTATTTTCCCAAGGCAATGAAAATAGCATCCATTTTATTACCAACCCAGAACCACTTTGGGAAACTCGGAGACGTGATGAAAGTAGCAACGAAAATCGAAGAAACAGAAACAGAAGACCTTTGCTCAATTCAAACATTGTCATTCGTTGATTTTGATTTGCATAATTCATCGATAAAAAAAGTGCACACACTTCAGTTTCTTTTGATACAGTTCTTGGCGTTTACAAGTCTCCTGAGGCCTGTTTTCATTTGATTTGCTTGGATTCGGTCGATAAACGCTCGACACGAAAATCCGAATGTGTGACCCGCATTTAATAACCGGATAACGAAAGCAAAAAAAAAGGTGAATTTCAGTTAGACAAATGGCTTTACCACTGTCCGTCCGGTGAGAGACAAAAACCTTGAAAACCACAATTTATTGCTGTGCTACCAACTTGAAACTTTGAACGCATTCTAATGGCTTATAATGATCTTATGCTGTATCTGTGTGCGGTGGATCTTGAATTCATCTTGATTTCCATAATTCCGCCCAGATTTTCCACCCAAACGAAATAGAAATGATGTTGTCAACCCGAAATCCGTTTGAAAAATACTAAAATGAGTGATGTCAAACTGGCCATTCTGACCTATGCAAATACGTTATTCTAACAACAAACAATTCCAACACCTAAACAAATATCATAGTAAAGGTCAAAACCAGAATTACCAGAAATGGACTTACTTCGGGTTTTCCCACATAAAACTGGCTACCACGATGATTGAGTCGCCATTCAAATGCAATGGTCTTTAAATATCAACGGTTCTTACAATCTTACAAACCTCGAATGGCAAGCTCAAAATTCAGTCATCGTCTGGTTTTCTTGTGTGTGCGGACGAATTAGAATTTAACACACATCAAAATATTGATCAAATAGAAAGTTGAAATTAGACCTGAATCAAACTTCAACATTTAGAATCCGACGAAAAAAAAAATGTTTTAGTTTTTGAATTGACGAATGAACGAATGAAAATTATATATAGAGAGACAGTCAGTTGTATGTGTAGCGTTTAATTCACATGTATGATGAAACGAAACAACTAACGAACGTACGCAGCGTTGCATTCTAAGTTTAAATTGAATGAGAGAAGAACAAGACGAACGAACGAACCGCTCGAAAAAAAAGCAAATGTGGAAAAAGTACGTTCTGTTTGGTGTGGCTGTCTCGCGCATATGCACATTGTGTATTTGTACATATACAACAGTTGTGAGCAGTGCCGGCGAAATGCATTTTAATTTAGGTGTAGCTACCAATATAAAATATGTCGGGATGTGTATATCGCGTATGTCAATATAATTGTGTGCTCAGTTCAATGTACTCTAAGTCTAGTGGCGAACGTGCAGCCGTAAAATGCACACACACACACACACACACATACACACACACACACACTCACTCGCATGCAATACACAAAAAACCTTCCGACGCTGTGTGTCGTGCCCGTTCTGCGTGCGTTTATGCCACTGGGAATGGAAATATGGTGTGCAGTTCATTTTATATTACGATGAAATGTAACAAACACACATGATAACATTTTCCAGCCAAACTGCGTACGGAGAGCGACTGAATTATATCAAAATTGATGCGCACACGACAACAAAGACAAAAATAATGTGCCGAGGGGAAACTATGCGATTGAGATGGGCGAGCGAGTGAGCGTCTAATGCAATTTGTTGGTAGAACCTTTTTTTTGCGCCGCTCTTTCACTCGCTTGACAATAGAACCGAAATGAATGTAACGGCAACAGAATCAACAATGAAAACAAAACATCGAACGGATGATAACTTCTGTCGTTGTTTTTTTCTCGCTGCATTCATATTTACGTCGATTTCATTCATTCGGTGCAGTGCAGAGAGCTTCAATTGTATTGTACATGCGTTGCATTGCGAACAAAACAGAAACCGAAAAAAAATATCGGGAATAAAAGTATAAAAATGATGAATGAAATAGAAATGTTCTGTGGTCGTGACGAATACAAAGAAGAATGCGCCTTCTTCCTTCTTTTCGCACCAAATTCGCATTTTTTTCCATTGTTTTTCTATACGATTTCTAACACAAAACTATATTCCAATCGAATGCCATCATTTTCATTCCATTTTTTCTGTTCTGTTTTTGTCATTCAATCAGCGTACGCAGAATTCAACTGAAATAAAAGATAGACCTATAAAACAGTTGAATAAAGAATAACGTTGAAAGTATCAAAAACTTTGAAACTTGATTTGAATGCGTTATTTAAAAATAAATCGCACTGTAGAATTCTGTCCGAATGAACCGAATGAAATGAGAAACGAGAAATGAATAGCAAGGAACTTTTGTCGACAACTGCAAGTTTAAGTTTAAAAGGAAGCATTTGGCGTTACCATACGAAATGTGTACGTGTGTGTGTGTGTGTATGAATAAATAGGTTAACTGAATCGTTTCGTGCGAGTCGAGTTTGTCGAGAAACACAACAACCAGCACAACCATCATGAGTAGATGAATGATATGTAGCAGCGGCCAAATGTGAACTTATTTGAATTTTTTCCACCACTCATAATGAACCATAAGTTTTATAAGCGCAAGCCATGGTATATTTACATTTAAAGGCCTCCATCGTCCTGCGTCTCTTTCCCTCCAGAGAATCATATTTCACATTTGGCCCGTCCAATGCTCGTTTTGTATAACATTGATTTTCACACATGACTCTCTTTAGCTTTCCATTTATAACAGTCTGAATGTGCCGAATCCGTTTCTGTTGTTGTTGTTGTTGTTGTTGTTGTTTTTCTTACGTAATTTCAGCCGTTTCATGCGACAGCTGCTTTCCTTTTTTGGACCAGTGCTTACTTCTCTCATATTTTTCTTTTCATTCGTCGAACACGTTTTTTTTTTTGTTTATTGTTGAACGGCATTCGGTTTTAATATATATTTTCCATTGAAGTGTACGTACAGGCTGTACGTGCAACACAAAACGGGGTAACTTTGAAACGGCGAAAATATATTTAAAAATTAATTAGGTGGGACATTTGAACTCATGCAAACGAAACGAAATGGAACGAAACACAGAAAACTTGTTCTCTCCACTAATAATCTGCTACAAAACAAAGTATGAGCGCATATTTTGAATACATTTCGTTCGGGTTAGAAAGCCGATATGATAAAAAATAGGTAGCGATAGAATAGACAAATGTTATTTTTAGATATTTTAATATGAATTTGGAATTTTTCGTTTTATTTACGTTCGTTTTTTATCTTTTGCAGATACAAAACAAGTCGTGGACCAGTGCTGCGATCAAGTGAACGTCGTCGAGCTCACGCAACATTATCAACGTCACCCGTATTGACACCACGCGTTGTCCTACCTCGTTTGGAATCCACGCGTGATTTCGATCGCTTGCGTCTATCATACAAAGTAACAATACTTGATCGAAGACAAACGCGCAGCAGTCGTGGCATGAGCATGGGACAAAAAATTTCAGGAAGCGTTAAATCTGTCAGTCGTGAATCACCGACACCATTTAAACCAATCATTCCGCGTGAATTGGCAGCCGATTTTGAACGGCCAGCACGCTTAGACATACTGCTTGATATGCCACCGGCAGCGCGAGATACACAAATCAAACACTCATGGAACTCAGAAGATCGATCTCTAAACATATTCGTCAAAGAAGAGGACAAGCTAACGTTTCATCGGCATCCAGTTGCACAAAGTACAGACTGTATACGCGGCAAAGTCGGATTCACAAAAGGCTTACACGTGTGGGAAGTGCAATGGTCGACCCGGCAGCGTGGCACACATGCCGTGGTCGGTGTTGCGACCGCCGAAGCACCATTACATTCAGTAGGTTATCAAAGCCTGGTCGGTTCAAACGATCAAAGTTGGGGATGGGACCTTGGCCGAAATAAACTCTATCACGATGCAAAGAATTGCAATGGCATCACATATCCAGCAATCCTGAAATCAGACGAAGCATTCTTAGTGCCAGACAAATTTTTGGTTGCGCTCGATATGGACGAAGGAACGCTTAGCTACATTGTCGATGGCCAGTATCTCGGTGTCGCGTTTAGAGGATTGAAAGGCAAAAAACTATATCCAATTATATCAGCTGTCTGGGGACACTGCGAAATCACAATGCGATATATCGGTGGACTCGATCGTAAGTATACCATTCTATCTCAATCAGCCTTTCTTCCGTCAAGATCAAATATAGCATAATATGAAGGAATTTAACACAAATCGACTACCTTAAAGATTATTAACTAAACGTTATATTCATTACTAAGCGGATATGCCTCATACTTTTTTCGTTCAACAAAAGAGCGAAAAAAACGGTTGAATTCGATAACAATAGAGAAAAGTCAGAGGGAAAAAAATATGAAACACAAACACACACGAATTGACATTGACAGCGCAAAACATTCGTCATTTGTTTGCGATCGACATTTTTTTGCTGTTGCTCATTCCGTTCCACAATTGCAACGCTGCGCGGTCGTGACATTTTTAATAACATATATCGAGGCCCGCAACAGCACAATTTTTTGTCACTTACTCGAAGAGCTGAATTAATGTGAAAGAAATTAGCAGCAATACAACCAATTGTCGCGATTTGATATTTTATTGAGTTAATTATCATACTCTCTAGTCTCCACTACAGACTCGCTGCCTGATTCATTCCGTTAATTTGATTTCATATCGTCGATTAGGAAATGAACATTGTGACAAATTCAAAGCTCTGAGTGAAAATGTTTTTTGCTACAAGTGATGATGGAATGATAGCAAACGGGACAAGTTTATTATCGAAATTGAGATTCCCATCAAAATCAAATGTTATTTTATACATTGGCTGCAAAATGCGACTGTAAAATGCAAACCAATTTGAATCGATCATTTTATTCATTCATGACATTTTGTAACACAAAAATAAGGAAAACGTGAATACAACTGAACCGGTAGACAGACACACGGCGAGGCAAAAACAATTGAAATACATACAAATGACATCACTGCACAGTCGGTTATTATATTATTGTTATTAACACTGAATTTGCCATGCAAATCGCGCAAGCAAAAAATAAAAACACCCATAGCTAAGGAGGGAGAGAAGGAGGAAAAAAAGCACACGGCTACAAATATCATTGAATGCTAAGTGCAAATTAATAAAGAAAACATGAGAGAAATTGAATAGTAATATTCTCGTGCGCGTAATTTGATCTGTTGCAATTCTTTGTATCGATTGCGCGCGCTGTGTGTGTGCCCGCGCGCCATAAATAGATATGTTTCAGCAAATGACAAACGGAAAAATAGCGAGAAATAAACAGCACACAAATCTGATCTAACATCTCAAACACGAATCTAGGCTTCGTGTGTCATTTCATAGAAGCATTTGAAGCTTCGCCAAGTGAGTTCAGATCGAAGCCGAACGGTAAACAGAGATATATTGTGGTAAGGCAACAAAACAACGAATCGAATCACTTGCAAATGTCATATACATTGTAACGTAATTTATCGAGCCAGCACATACACACACACACGGCATATCTGCTCAAGGTTAACCGAATCATACAATCATTACCATAGCGAGTGCCAACTGAAACCAACTTTTATACACAGTGCGCTTGTACTGGGCCCAATTGTGAGCTCAATTGCACGTTTTTTTTCTTCAACTTTTTGAAATGAATTGCTAACTTCTTTCGCGCTTCTGAACAACTTCATAGTGATCCGTAGCGAGCATACAGCACTGAGGAAAAAACACCAGCAACTGTGAGAACACCATAAGAAACAAGGCTGCTGGTATACACTTCATGTATATGTATGAACAGCTTTATCTTAATTTGAAAAATAAAAAATAAATAAATATTTGTACATTTAGCTATTGCTAGCTTGCGGTTACTTCATTCCATTTATTTACAAACTGAAAATGAAAAGCAAAATTTAAATTGACTGCGCACTTTGATATTATTGTCCATTGCCAGGTTTTCTTATGCAATTTCCAAATTAAAACACAATAATTGAACGAAAATTTTTGGTTTTTTTTTCTCGTTTTTGTTGCCATTTTCACAGTAAAATGCACAAGCATACGGAGCCAGCCAGCAAATAATGGCAAATTGACATTTTAATAAGGCTAAGAGCTCTATGAAATATACGTGGTGACAACTACGGAAGAGAGACAAATCGAACAGAGCCACTGGCGATAATAATCTAGCCAATTTGGCTATTGTTATTTATTGGATGCCGTGTGTGTTTGTGTTTTTTCTGCTTCTTTCCGCAACATGGCTGCCACCTTTGTGTACTGACTGCCAAAGGCCTTGAAAAAACTCAGCCGTATTGACACATAAAAAGATAATTAGCAGAAAACTTCGTTGAATTCAATTCACTTGTAATTAACATATTAATAAAAACGTTCATTTCTGCTCATTGAACAAGTGCCGTGTCAATCAATTGGCTTAGGTGCGAAGAAAAATTAGAATAAACACCGCGAGTGTTTTTCCATTTGAAACCCGATACTTTTTACGCTATCGATTCGTAGAACTAAAATCCTTTGACCGAAAGGATAAAATAGGAGGAAGTGAAGTAATCGCAACAATTGCGCACTTGCCTTGACTTACAAGCTAATGAATTTGCTTTTTTATTTTTCAATTTTTCGAAAATGGCAGAAACAAATATCACTTTAGCCTCCCATTTGTTGCTACTACAATTTACAACGTCATGATATAATTGCAATTTTTTTTCCATTAGTTTTTCCAATGAAAAGGGAGAAAATGATGTGTGCATGTAATTACATTGGTTTATTGTTTCTATTTCATCTATTGAACCGATTTCAATCTTAGTTTCGTTGGACCAATAACATGTCTGTGCACTCGGTGCCATTGATGCAATATCTGCCTTGCCAATTTTTTTCTTCGCCCTGTTCAAATGCAAACAATGAAAAAATAAAACAATGAGCAATATAATTGAAATGTCGAGGAACGGTATGATCTTTTCGTTTGTTGCATCGATTTCATGTAGACCTAATTGATATTATGTTACCATAATGAACGACGAATTGAATGCGATGTGTTTGATCGCATTGTATAAATTACAATGTTTTTTTTTCTTCAATTCTTGCTGCCTCAAGATCAAATACCCGATCTCGTTTTACTTTTAACTGCTTTGTTTCCAATTCGATGTTAATTTATGTTGCGTCAAATATTTTAACGACAAACATCACACATTGAAACTGCCAACAATAACACACACACACACAGTCAGTTAGCTGGGCTTATTATTAAATTATCTTAATTGCAAATTAATAATAGCAAAATAATGTTTCGAATGGTTGGCATGTGCAAAGGAGCTGCACGATTCATTGCATATACACACTCACACACGTATTGTTGCTCAATGCAAATAACACGCTTGATCGATTGATTTGTTGGTATTCGACAAGAGTTCGAATAGATTTCGATTGTTTTTTTTGCCTATTTAATGTTTCATACCGCAATCTTGAGCTTGCTAAACGTAACCGATCAGATTTGATTCTTGAAATTGAATTTGGTTGGTGTTTTGTTTAAAGAAATGATTAATCATTCTCTCGCTAGCATCGAAACACGATTCGAACGAGAGAAAAAAGTGGAATAATCTCAACAATGTGTGCTGGTTTCATTTGAGTGGTGTTTTTTCTTCTGATTTATTTTTTAATTCGATGATGTGGTATGTTTGTACCCCCGTTTTACAACAAAGTTCAAGGTGAACTTTTGAAAAGAATGGATATGTGTTTCGTCAATATGCTTTGTGTTTGTATAACGTAAACCGAAAAGACGCCAAAAGAATCGCTTGTACAAAGTATTAAGTAGGCGCAGTTTTGAATTATTCTTCTCCCTCTGGGCAAACAACGGTTTCGATTTCAATGCTAAATGTGTTAAATTTCGTCATCATTTACTATTTTGATTGTAATTTGAAAATAAAAACCACAACAAAAACTAATGAATTCTATTCCATTTTTTTTCCTTCTTCAGCTGAACCGTTCCCACTGATGGATCTCTGTAGACGAGTTATTCGACAAAAAATCGGCCGCGAACGATTAGAAAGCTGCGTGCATCAATTGCAACTGCCCGAATCAATGAAAACGTATTTATTGTATTGGGACCGTAGATAATAACATGAACGCAGCAGCCATTACGACCGTTAAAGAACATGAACAACATCAACATTGATTGATCCAACACCGACCACACGCAAAAGTGTCATTGCTAAGAAGCAGATCAACGAAAAATCAACCTATGCATCATCCAAACTGGCTGTACAACAATAACAACATCATCATCTAACGAACAATATGAGTATTAAGGGAAGCAAAGCTGTACAATATATATTCAGCAAGAAAGTCTTGTCGACACACCAGAAAAAAAAACATTTTTATTTTGTCAAAACAAATTTAAAACAAGGAAGACAAAGCAAAAAATATAATAACAAAATTATTACGAGAATTCACGCGAAAGTTCAAATAAATTGGGCTTTTTAAATATACATTTCATATATACATTGTTTTGCTAATAAAAAGAATGAACATTCAGATGTTGAAACCACTTGACTTTCGGATTTACTTAACAGACAAGCAAGCGCAACATTAAATCCACTCTCTCAAGCCGTTTATGATCCTTAGTTGTTATTTCGTTCAGGAACACACAATGATCAATCCAAAACCGACATCAAGAGATAATTTAGGATTTATTTTCCCCCACAGCGTGTGCGCGTTCCGCTCCCTTTGAAGGTCTCTTCAAAAATGGGCTTATTGTGATAATAAAAGTTGCTCCTTTTTTAACAGTCCATTTCAAAACATGCAGTGTGAATTCTCATTCCCCCACATTTTTTTTAAAAACGAAAAATGATGAGTAAAACGAAAAAGAAAAACAAAGCTATGTTGACTGCGTTCTTTAGGCGGGGCATTCCTCACGTCCATGAAACAATTGATTTATCCACGAGGGCACGAATAAATTGCGGCCAGATTTATGAATATAATTAACGATAATAATGCTAAAGTAAAGAAAAAAAATGATGAAATAAACTTACACACACAATACATATTATTTTAGTTTAGGCTCTTGCAGAACAGCGTAAGAAAAGTCTCATATTTCACAACAAATATTAACTTAGAATTTAATTATTAAAAATGAAATAAAGGAAATACGGAATAGCGGAGAATAAAACTGATTTCAAGTTTAAACATAACAAGAAAATAAAGAAGAAAAAGCAAAATGTGTAAATATGCAGAAAAGAATGATGAAATAGAAGATTTGGGTCGAGAAAAGTGCAGCAAACAGCAAATGATGCCGTAACAACATTTAAGTAAAGTTACGGAAAACATCATGCATTCGACCCATTTAAAGAACAAGACGAAGTAAGAAAAAAACAACATATTAGGATATTATGTTAAGTCATAGCCAAGCATTACATAGCTATCAAACAGTAAAACAATACACAAAACAAGTTAAATCACGATAAAAGTTCATTGTTTTCCTCTCTCCGTAATTTCAAAACAAGCAAGCGCTAAATAATTTAAACGAAAACCACACATAAGAATTGCTCGTTTTTTTCTTTTCTAAATGTATTAAGAGCCAATAAAAAGAATAAAAATGAGAAAAGAAAACAGAGAAAAAATATAAACTATGGACATTAGCGATAAGTAAGTAGAACTTATTACTGAGAGATATCAGCATAAGTGAGTGGACAGATTTACGACGAAATATTGATAAAAAAATAATAATAATATTAATAGCAAAAAAAAAAACAAGAAAACAGAAAAATAAATGCGAAGGAGAAAGAAGCAACAACAACAAATGAAAAACAAGACTAATATGCTTACTATTGTATTTTAAAGTTTCATTTTTACAAGAAAAAAAAATACTTACGTTTAAACTGGTATAGGAAGTGAAGCAAACGAATTACGTCTCTTTTTTTGCGAGTAATCGAACAATGTTTAAAATAATGATGAAGAAGAAGAATGGAAGAAAAAAAAATTGAAGAAGTTTGCTCACGCAAATATAGGCCGATAGGTTAAATTTAAATAAGTTTCATTTTTTCTCTCTCTATCAAATGCACAAAAAGCGTAGCAACGAAATTGAAATTCAACGGTGCGATGGGGAAACAGTTCATTCTCTTCTAATCCGGAAAACATTCAAAGTGATTGATCGACTTATGTGCAAAACAAACAAAAAAAAAACAATTTGTAGAAATTTTTATCGAATTTTCGTTTTTAAATGTCTTTTCTTTGCATTTGTATAAATATCACAATTGAATCCGCTCGAATCACATCCACAACATCTCTACAAAACACATACATCCATACTTATATCGACAATCACGAACAGTGTGCGCCGGTCATATATTATTTCAAACGAAGAATAAATTAATGTGTGTCAAGTTCAGTCGAATTTTTTTTTTGTTTTTTTTTTTTATATTTTTGTCTCTCCGAAAAATTCCATTTGTCAAAAAGGAAGAATTTTGTTTGTTCTCAGAAGAAGAAGAAGAAGAAAAAAATGAAGTAAAAACAATTCAATAACGAAATAAAAAGTCGTCCGAACACTTTGGTTTGATTCATGTATATCTTTTTAACGTAAACAAAATGATTAAAGTGATGGTGGTTTTTCGTGTAGTTTGTAATATTCCAACATTATTAATTGTAATTAAATTAGGATGAAAAAGGAAAAAAAAACAACTGATTTCGTTTCGCATTTTTATTTTTCGTAATTTCTATAAAAATCAGCGCGATACTATAGTTTAAATGCCAAACAGGAAGTAAACAAACACACAGAAGAGCAATAGATTTTCTTTTTATTCAATCGACTAAAACACTTTCGATATGAAATCACTTTGGATTTCGAAACAATGAATTTTGATTTAATTGACGGATCCAACTGCAATATATTCTCCCTCACACACACAACAACTACAACAACAACAACAAAACACATTCATTTCTCTTTTTGTACATACAACAATCACATATTTTTGTCATGAAGTGGAATAATAAATGTCTTTAAGTGAAAAAAATATAATAAGCACTTTTGAATGAAACTATTTTTTTTCCCTGATTTGCTCTCATATCTTTTTTTGTTTCAAAAAAGAAAAAAAAGAAAAGTTTTCTTTTGGAGAAATTGAGCCATTTTTATTCATTTTGACAAAAAAAAGAAATATATATATGTCCAACAAAGCTTTAGCTTGGTTGATTGCAGCTTTGTGTTGACTTCAATTTTCCAGCAATTTTTTTTTAAATGGAAATTCAAATTAGAGAAATAATTTAATGGAAAAAATACAAAAAATTTATTATTGTCTTCATTTTCATCATAAATTAAGTTTACAATTTAAACAATTTAGCATAGACACTTAGAAAGAAAACGACATTTATTTTACTACGTAGATTTGCAAAAAAAAATTTCAGTTTAAGATTCGAATAGTGTTAATTTCCTTTTTTTCTTTTTATGAAAGAAAAGAATTAAATTTTATGAATACTAAATAAACCAAGCCGTCTTTTTTATTCACTCTTACTGTGCCCTTTTCAGATGTTTTGTCGTTCCAGTTTTAATAGAGCAATGGCTCTCTGAGTTTAGTCTGTCTGACCACTGAAATGCTCATTGTTTCGTGAAAAATTGAATATTTTCAATATTTCAATGCATGTCTGGCAATTCTATACAACTTGAGTATAAAGCGAGTCAAATAGAAAAAAGGTATTCAATTCACTAGTGAAAAAGCAAAGGCGTGGCTGCTAATTCATTTAACAGAAGAAAAATGCTTGTTTACAGTAATAAAAATGGAAAAAAGCTGGATTCTTCAATTTTCTTTTAAAATTTCAATTTAGACACGTACCTTCAATCTCCTAAAAACACCCAGAAATATGATTTCTACAAATCAAATAAAAATACCGTTGTATTTGCTGAGAATGAGCGATAAACATGTGTTTTTAACGTCTGACTTTTGAAACCATTATCAAGCACGATTTTTACAACTGGCGCCCCCTTTGCTGTCAAACATTTCTGGCAACTACTTGTCCCAACTTGTTTATTTACATCCAAATGCCAATTGTCACATTTCGGTGTGGAATTGAAAAAGCATTTTTTGTGACACAGACAATCCATCAACATAATTTTTAGGTGTAGACACATATGCCACTTGCCAATTATTTCAATTAGTTTTAGTTGTTGATTAAGCGTGAACTACGTAAACCGAATTGTGATCGAATAAAAATGCGTGAAAACGCCGATATTAAAATTGTTGGCAAAAATGTCATACTAATTCCGTACGAAGCCAAGCACGTTGAAAAGTGAGACCAATTTGCCGGGCTGCATCCCATTTCATTTTCTTTGTCAATCTTTTTCAATAAATTGTGAATTATTTTAGGTATCATAAATGGATGTCCGACCCGGAATTATTGAAACTAACTGCTTCCGAGCCATTGACCATTGATCAAGAGTATGAGATGCAAGAAACGTGGCGAAACGATGAAGATAGTACGTTAAAATGTTGATATATCAAAAATTAATCCGAAGCCATACAATCCTTGTTTTTTTTTTTCCTTTTTCAGAGTGTACGTTTTTGGTACTAAACAAGGACGTTTATGAGCGGACAAAGGATGAGATCGGTTTGTTGAAAAATTAAAACAAAACTAAATTGTATTCGTATTTAATTTTGTGCAAAATTATTTTACAGAAGCATTGATTGGCGACACAAATCTGTTTCTTAACCAGGATTATTTCTTGCCTGGGTCAGACGACGAAAATCCCCATCAAGATTTAAACAACGAAACAATAATCGCCGAGGCGGAGATAATGATAGCCGAACCCGAAGCGCGTGGGAAAGGTTTTGGAAAAGAAGCCATTCTTCTGATGCTAAAATATGGACAATCTGAGCTCGGCGTCCAAGAATTCGTTTCAAAAATCGGCTATGACAATATTACCAGCCAACATCTGTTCGCAAAGCTTCAATTTGAAGAACAGTCGCGATCGGATGTATTCCAGGAAATCGCGTTCAAACGAACCGTAGACGTTGCATGGGTGAAATGGTTGAACAACGAAGTATCGGCCTACGAAATTGAAGATTATGTACGATAAACATAACGTCCTTCTACTGTGAAAGAAATGCCACGCCGTCTAATTCAAAATTATTTTGTCAAATGGCACAAATCAAATCATTTTTGAACGAATATATATTTTTGCACAGACTATTTTGTTAGGGTTTACTTCTTTTGGTATTTTTGTATTTTTGCATTTATTCAATACGCTTTTTGTATTAAAAAAAAACAATTTAATAAAGAATCGACTCGATTTAAAACGAACATTTAGCCACAATTCCATTTGGAATGTTAGCAATAATTCCATTTACATGATTGAGTTGTTGTCAGCAAAGATTTGTTGTAATCTGATTGCATATTTGCTGCCATGGAAACGTTGCAAGTCAAGTGGATGATCCTATAATTGGATTTGTGTCTTCGAAGAAACAGTTATTGATTTATTTAACTTTGCACGCAATAAATGTTTGACTAAGATATGGAAAATGTGATAATTCGTCAAGCAAAACAAACAGCAAATACTGATGCAGCAAATGGAACGTCTGCCGTTCATCTTGTCAAGCGTTTATGAAAGTGAATTCAATTTGTTGTGTTTGCAAATCGAATTGTTAGCATTGGCAATTTTGCAAATCATCATCATTTGATACTTGTTTCGATGTTCTAAGTTCAAAGGTCATATTCGGCGTATGCTACACGCATTTTGGCCATAAAAACCCAACTAACAAATAACCGATATGAATTATTTGCTTTTATTGTGTTTGTGTGTTATAGTCCTGTGCCTCATTTACCGCATTCAATGTTTGAGTGGTTTTGTTCTCTCTATCTCCTTCGTCTATTTAATTTTCCAATGTTCTTTCTCACCCCCTCTGCCACACTTCCATGTTCTGGTGGCCGTTACATCGATTTGGTGAATGTCTTTGTTTGCCATTAACGTCATATGTTCGCCCCGTGTTTACGTCTTTAGGTTTCCTCCACTTTCTCATTTGCATGAATAACTTACGAAGGCGAATTGAATAGTAGGGTTGATATACACTTGTTATGACGATATCAAATGCATGATTCTCTTGGCGACACCCGACACAAGCATACATACATACATGTACACAACGTATATGTATGTTTGCATGAAAGAGTCCGAGCTAAGCGATGATTTCGTGCCATAATCGTATTTCATGAAGAACGGCGCCGGCGCAGAAAAACCAATCGATCCGTACAATGCCCACCACCAGGAATAATTTCACATGAATCCGAATTTTATGAACGTTGCGCTCTATGGAGTAGAAAAAAGGAAGACATGAAAAATTCCATTAGCGTTCGCACCAATACAAACGCACACACATACATTGCGCGCGTAGTATTCGACGGAGAAGAAACTTCGCACTCTCATTAACACAGAGCACATACATAGTTCGTACTGCACTAGCTTCGTTTGAACTCTGTACAACTTCGATACCAATACGCAGAGGAGACTCGCCAGAGAATGAATTTTCTCTAGATTATTTTTTTTTCTTTTGTTCTGAATCCTGCAAATAATCGAGAGAGCGAGAAGAAATAAAGATTATTTTCAAAAGTGTTGTTTCGATTTAAAACGCACAAAAGTGAAAATTGAAATCCGTTTTATTTTTAGAGGGAACAAAAGAATTGGTTGGTTTTATTCTGACGTGTGTGCTGTGTATATTGTGTGGAATCGAAATTCAGGGTAGTATGAATGTATATTTTCTGTAGCGTAGACCCCAAAACAATCATGGTGGATGTTTTACCCGAGTAAAATTCAGTGCAATAGAAAAAGAAAAGAAAAGAAACGAAAACAACCACACAGTTCAACAAATGACAGACATTGAAAAACCAGGCCAAAATTAAATTAGTGAAGTGGCAAATATAAATGGGGTTTTCCTCGGATTTGTGCAGTTTTTAGTCGAAATGACAAGTGAATAGAAGAGAACTGCAAAGTGTCTGATTGCGAAATCGCTGTTTATGCGCAATAGATTTGTGAACCAGGCAGTTTTTTTCCGTCGTTTTTGGAAAATAAAGTGTTTTGAATTCGCTATTGATTGTGCACCACCTCAATTATTCAAGACTTCGAAATTTAACATCCAACAGTTGGAACAAAGAGAACAACAAAAATCTCAATTCGTATCGATCGAAATCTGTCGAGAGTGGAAACCAATGGAAATTTGATTGCTGTGTGCCTAAATCGTAAATCACCTTTTTTTTATACCCTCGAGATTTGTACGACTCACTCAATTCGATAAACCAAACAAAAAAGTAAATTAGATTAAAACCGTGTGCAGGAAAAAAAAACAAACAAAATGGGTACAGTATTAAGCTTTAGTCCTCGTGAACGGCGCCCCGTTTATTCGACATACCACAACCACGGCACACTTAGCTCATCGGGCTCGGCTGACTATCCGCTGAACAACTACTCGTACGAGCAGCTGAACAATGTTAAAAATCGCGAAAACAACAAATCGTCACTGTGTCAAGTGCCTAACAATAGTGGGAACATAATGTTGAGTCAAACACAGAACAACTATCATCATCACCTTCATACACACAACATTCACAATGGAAATAACTCAAACCTGGCCCCAAATGCTGGCAACAACAACAACAATAACAACAACAGTAATCTCAGCAGTAACCTCACGAACAACAACATAGCAAATAACAATACCATTAACAATAATAACAACAATGCCGATCGAAATGACACGGCCCGTATCCTATCCGAGAAGAATGCACTGGAGAAGAATCTGAAGAAGCATTCGCTGTTCATCAATGCATTGTCGTGGAAACGATTGGCTGCATCGCACAGTAAAAAGAAATTGGATAACAATAAAAATAAATCGGCCAATTTACCAACGGCCACATTCCGACCACCACTGGTCGATGCCGTTCATCCGTTGGCCATCGATAAAAATAAAAACATTCAACAACAGAACCATCATCAGTATTTTACACCTGGTGCGCCAAACACAAAAGCCTTGTTGGCCCTAGATCTTGTTCGAGCGAACAACACGAACAATGCTCAACAACATTTGGAGAAATTAACAACCAAATTACCGCTGTCAATCCCATTGCAGACAGCATTCAACCATGCACAGCAACAGCATCAATCGATGCTTCAGCCAGCACAGCAACACAATCATGTGCCCCGAAAAACCGTAATCCAGGTAAGAGAGAAAGATTAATTTGTTTTGCCCCAAAAGGCATTTCACAGCCTAATTGAATGAGCCCATCTTCCGAATTTGAAGAGCGAACCGCAAAATTGTTATAAGTGAAATCCCATCAAATGAGAATATACTCTTTTTTTTTCTCTTAAGCCCAACACGCGCACCATTATAATTAATATTTCATCTTGCGTTGGTGGATAAAATTAACAGAGACATACTTACATACATACAAACATCCATATTGACGTACATCAATTGATATATTGTAAAGCCGTTTTGGGCTGAATTCACCCTCGTACTTGGAAATTAGAAATTATTTTTGGAATAACAACGTACAAAAATAACACGTTAGCTGAGCATTCTTCAAGTTCACTGGCAATTGATGGGAATGCTTTTATATGTGTTATATTTGTACATGCACCTACATTGGCACTTAAAAAAATGAATACAAATTGTATTTATGTGTCCTTTCGCTGTATCGATTTAATATTAAATACCGTGAGCAATGGTTTTCTCCATCGACTTCTGTATAATGATTCTAGAATGAAACTCGTTTCGTTTCTAAATTCCACTTGATAATTGGTGGCTGATGGCTGTGATTATACACACATATATAACACATGTGTTATATTTATAGAAAGGAAGTAAGAAAGGAAGGACTTTAGTGGTTGCTTCGACGCGATAAAAGTACATATATGTGCAAAAAATACTCACGCCATCCATCTATCCATCCAACTATGCATGTGCATACGGAAAACTTGATAATGAATAATAATTTGTTCAACCAAATGTCGCACCTATAATTACGGTCTTTCTTTTCATTTTATTCGCTTTCACATGAGTGTGGAAACACATACACTCACAAACATCCATCCACCGAATGACGACTCAAAATGTGGGATGATAACGATTTTCAATGAACATTTTTTGGCGATATTAAGCTTTAAAACGGAAAAATTTGTATCATCAACATTTTCTCTTGCCTAAATTTTCGACAAACATCAAGTTTACGCCATGCACACCATCAAATAATCATATTTTTTTGTGTCTGAGCTGTTTTTCTATTTCAAAATGTCTGCATGGGGAATTGCCACAATTCACGAAATTTGTCGGCCATCCATGGAAACCATTATGGAGTAGTATGGTGGAATTCTAAAATTGCTAAATGGATAATTTCCATGCCATGGTATTCGTACTTTGAGTAAGCCGTTGCTTTTTATCTAGCGAAGCAAAAAAAGTATTTACGCTGCAAAATAGAGTATGTATGCGTGAGCGTGGTGGAAGAAGAACTATTGTTTCGCGTGTTCAACAGTCAGTTAAAAGGACCCCATCATTCAAAGTCACTATGTTTATGGCGTTGTTTTGGAGTGCTTTCACTTCTGCCAGCACGTTATGATGTGGTGTATTCACACTGGACCATCGACAAAGTGAATAAGTTTCTGGAAAATAAGTTGAAAGCGAAAATCTAATGTCATTATTGTTGAATAAAATTACAATCTATTGTGTTCCAACGACCTATTAACGTCATCAAAATAAAAACAAAATGTTTGCTATTGACTCAGCATTCTACGTACGAAGAATTGGGTCAGTTTATCATTGAAATTTACAATTATAATTTTCACCAGAATACTGTGTTAATAAATTTGCTATGACAATTAACTGCAAAAGTTGACGAAATGGTCGGTTCATCGAAGGGAATGCTTCGATTGCTCGCAAATAATTGGATTTATTTCGAAGTAAATGCATTTTCATTGTCAACTTGAATATTTTGTTTCAATTTATTTCCTACAAATATTGACAATACAATTTTCCACACAGCGAGCAAAATTTCGTACAGTCAATACTAATTGGTTGGCTTCATGCCGTACGTGTGCGTATATGTGGGCTGTGGGGATTTTGTTCTCGCCTCCAAAATGTTGTAGGTTTAACAATTTTGCTTATAACTAATTTGCGTTCAAATAACATTTTCAACGTTTGTCAGCCCAGCTGCTTCGACGTAACCAATGCAAATTGTGCGGTTTTTTTCGGTTTAGAAATGAGCTCATACATGGATATTTCGATATAAATAACATTTTTCTTGTTAAATCTAAAACAACACGACTAGGCTTCAACTTCTGAGCTTTTGAAATGTTTGGGAATGTTTTTGCATGACCGTTGCCGAAAATTGCGAGATTTCCAAGCAGGCGATGCGGTTATGTGGCTAAGAGCAGTTGATCGTAGCCTTTTACTTCAAGGATGGCAGGTAATTTATCTTGACAAACAATGTGCAGAATGTCTCTGTCTCTCCCTCATTTGTATGTATCGATCTCATGTCAAAACTTTTGTTTCTTCTTCTTCTTTTTCTGGTATGGTGTGCAACGATGGATAGGATGTGGCATTCATTAACCCAGCCAATGTTGTGTTCGTTTACATGTTGGTTCGAGAGTTGGTCGACGGCGAAGAGACCAAAGAGTCTGAATTGCAAGCATCTGTTTTAACATGTTTGTACTTGTCGTATTCGTACATGGGCAATGAAATTAGTTATCCGCTGAAACCATTCCTGGTTGAAGATTCAAAGGATAAATTTTGGGACAGGTAAGCAAATGAATAAATTTTTGGATTTGATTGTCATTCTTACTCTGATTTCGTTCTTCTCCTGTGCATTTCCATTCGTAGATGTCTCTTGATTGTGAATCGCCTCAGTGGTAATATGCTTCGAATCAATGCGGAGCCCGGATTTTTCACCGAAATTTTCACCGAGCTTAAGGCATGCGGCGTACTAAATCAGTCCAATCAAAATAATTTGAACACATTATCGAATGGAATCAACTGTGGAGCCGCTTGACGCAGTTACAACAACAACAGCAACAATAATAACGGCAACAGCAATAGCAGTGGCAGACATCCAAGAGAAGTTGTTGTTCGATTATCGATAGCCGGTCAACAACAAAAATATCAACATCAAACAACGTTACAGGAAATTACCAGCATTGTTTAGAAACAATTCGCTCGGTGCAAAAATGATGATGATGATGATGTTGCTGAATGACATTAGGTGATATATACCGATTGAATCGATAGACCCGGCTAGCAAATCAACCACTTCAATACATCCTTGTTTGAATGTTTGATCTGTAAAATTTTAGACACAATTTAAAGAAGAAGGAAAAAAATTTAAAAAATGCAGAAGAATAAAAAAAAATTAGAATAAGGTAACCATGATATTACAAACACATGAAACATGATAGCATATGACGGCCGTGTTCAAAATATTTATGATATTCGACGTGAGAAAGAGCGAGAGAGAGAGAGAGAAAAGAATTCGAAGAGAAAACGGTCTGTGCAACATTATTTCGACTCAAAGTCCTAGATGTCTTTAAAACAAAGTAGCTCAAGACATTTAATATGTAAAAGCATTCGTAGCGATTTGACTTTACGAACTATGCAGAGAAGAAGGCAAAAATCCTCGTGACATTTAGGCATAATCTGATTTTAATACGCGAAATCAAATTCATTGTCTGCTTTAAAACAAAAATGATGACGAAATCCGTTCTATACTCATGTTCAACACTCAGCAGCTGACTACACACAATTTTAATGAAATTGCGTTGGTCTATGTCAGCTCACGATCGATTTATTTATTTTTCAAATTCTTCAACAGTAGGAACTCAATAAGCGAAATCAATAATCATTATTATACTATTCGGAGACAGCATATTATAAAAGAAAATAAAAGGATTACCGAATCTGTCTTCCATCAGGACATTACTATTTTCTGAATGAATCTAAAATGACAGCTGCTTTTTTTTGCAAATGTAAATGATTATTTACATGCGATGCACCTCAACCGGCAGACTGAGACCGCAATAAGTAATGGCCAAACTATGAAAATGAGTAATTGGCACCGAAAGTGAACGGTGCCAACATTTTTCAATAAATCCAACACCACCCCAATCCCCCTAAAAAATCACCAAATTCGGCTTGTCACTGCGAAAATCGCCACTTTTAAATTGATTTGCCAAAAAAAAATGAAAGAAAAATTGTAATAAAATGGAAATTTTTGTTATGTCCACGTTATTTGTACGAGTTTACAAAACTACCAATTTTTATGTTTACTAGTTAAAATGTGAAAAAAATGTTCACATCCACATCACCATTTGTATCCATCCATCGCACCAGAAGAAAAAAAAGATATATTTATTTAAATGATCAAAATCGTATTTACATTATTCTAGTTAACCGAGAAAAAAATTGTTTGACTTTTATAAATCTTTTTTTTCCTTTTGAAATCATTTTTTGCAAAAGTTATACCCAACCCACAAAAAATGTTCTGTACACGAAGAGCTAGACTTAGTTAGACATTTTGGCTTCAAGATTTCTCTCGGAAAATTGTTATAACGAGCTCTGTTTTCTTTTCTTTTGTACATTTTGACCTTTGTTCACATGTAAATACACTTGATAACACTCGCTAAACAGAACCACTAATCGTGGTACACTACTACGGAGTCCGTAGCACGAACGCAGCAGTCGCTGCGAATACAAGTAATTGTAGCTTAAGGAAATGCACTTCAACGGATATGATTAGCGGCAACAACATGAAACGAAACAATTACATATTCTCTATCAAAAATGCACGCGTTAAGTAAACACGCTTGAAAAGAAATAAATGATAAATTGATGTGCAATAAAGCAGGAAAATATTTACAGAGAAATTCAGTTGAATACTGAATTTGGCTGGGCTCAAATGCAATAATTGACTTCCAATTACATTCTCACCTTCATTTTTTCCGCTTTTTTTTCCTCATTAGTTTGCAAATACTCGCATTGACACTCTCGTTGAAATCATTTTTTTTTATACTTCGAACCCTTCTACTCTACTCAACCGTTGTTGAGGTGTCTATGATTCAGTGACGGTGAGCTGAAATGTAAGAATATATACCAATTTTGATTCGATGTTTTCTTACAGGAACAGGTTTCACTTTTTGCGAGCAATATGATACCGAATATACTGAATACACTTGTTCAAAAGACAAAGTTACGCGGAGAAGAAAATGGAAAACGAAATGTTCGACCAAAGTTTTCAATTCGAAAACAATTTCTTCTTCTTTTTGTGAAGTACAGACCATTTAATTCGCAAATAAGATACGTAAATTTACATAATATATATCAAGTGAGTGCAATATGCATTCATTGTGTGAGTCGGTATGTGCTCGTTTCGAACGGGCAAGCTCGACAAGTATGCTGTAAAAGCAATTTGTATCTAATACATAAAAAAGAGTTTCGCTAGTCAAAAAAAACGTCCTTTCCTTTTTGAAGTGTTAGTTCCATATTATTTATTCTTTTCATGCTGTGATTATCGTTTAAACTAAAACATATTTTCAGTTTTCTAAACACACTGTATTGTTCTTTTCGTTATCAAAGTGAATTTGATTGATTTGTCGGAATGGAATAAAAGAAGCGTAATTACTTGAGAGATAAGTAGATGAATTTAAGTAATTTAGGTCATAGGAATCCAATGTGTATTTTAAGCGTAGTCCCATTTGACAACATTGAAAATGTAATGGCTCCTGCCGCATGATTCATGTGAATCGTTGCGCAAGGACTGTGCATTGTAATAGTTTTACTTAAACCAAAAGAATAGTTCATCGAAGAAACCAAATTAACTGTGTTGTGTGTCTACAATCGAATCCAAAAAAAAAATACTTAATTTAAACAATGCCGACGACATGTTTACGAATATCCAATATGCAAGTGGCCAGACGCATTTCAATCGCAAAATTTTGATTCACAATAAAACCAATAATAAATCGCAAATGCTCAACTCATTTCAACAGATATACGCTGCTGCTCTGCACTTATCAACACTCAATGTTATTCGTTTGTTCACGATGCTTCATGCTACCGACCGAAACAGAGAACACGACCTGAACAAATAACACGCGGCAAATGACAGCATCTCAATGGAAAATTGTTGTCGTCTCTCAAACTCATACGATTCAATCAGATTTATAAGCATTTCAAATGGTGGTGAATTTATAGTTGGCTTCAAATACAATGAATGATGAAACGGAAAAAAAACAATAATATAACACACACACACACACACACACAAATTGCAAGTTCATTACCAAAAACTAAAGCAAATAATTTGACAATTCTATTACAACAACATCAACAACAAAAGAAAAAAAAACCGATTGATATATTCACTCGCATACAATTTGATGTTAGTCGTAGTCCACGTAGATGCATTTCACTGAAAATTTTCTCTGCCCGTTCTACTACCCTGTTTCCAGTTCACACCTACTAAATATATATAACGTATTATTTAGGTTCAAATTTTTAATGGAATGTTCTCTTTGCGCGTTTTCTCATTTTAAAAATCGAAATCAACCAACATAAAGGAAAAACTAACAAAAATCTTATTAGGTTTAGCAAATGGAACATTCATCGCACTCACACTTAGGATGTTCAAATTGGAGATACAAATTAGAACACTTTTTTCTTCGAAATTTTGTTAAAAAAATTAAACTTGAAATAAAAAAAACAAAAACAAAAATTGGACTTTGGATCAACGTGATTTCGTTACCTAAAAATTGCTTTGCACACACACACACAAAATCATTATAAAAAGACACATTGAAATTTGCAACAAAAATTACAAAAAATTATATATACAAATGTATTGCAAAACTTTGTTAGATACAAAAAAGACAAGTAAGTTAAGTTTTGTGGAGAAAAAAAAACTCAATGAAACAAAATCTTTTGACCGAATGGTAAAAAAAATATTATACAAAAATGATATGTTTTGAGTGTTCTACCAAAAATTTGATGGAATGAAATAAAAAAAAATGTGTATTGAACATAACGTATGGATTCACCATTATTATTATTATTATAAATTCAAATTACCTTTAAGACTAATAAAAATATTTCTTAGAAAAAGTGTGGTGAGTTTTTGATGTTTTATCAACAATTGGCGACACTGTAAATCATTGCCGAGAAACTTAACACCAAGCAGACGACACACAGATAGAGGCAATGAATACCGTTTTTACCGGCGACTTGAGTCGTGAGTGATTGCACACGTTAGCCGTCGTACTTGTTGCTGTCGACTCATTGTATTTGTTTCACTTTCTCTATCGTTTAGCTTGTGTTTTGTGTTACGAAAAAAAAATAGTCTAGCTTTGATGTATTTGTCTTCAGAAAAAAAAATATGCAAAACGTTTTGTAGTAACAAAAAAAATACAACAGAAGGAAAAGTCTGATCAACCACTGAAAAAAGTGCATGCATTCATAACATCGATTAATTGTGACATTATCACCCGTTGAATCCGAACAATTGCAGTAGTCAGAAATGGCAAAGGAGTACATAAAATTGGAAAAGCTTGGTTCAGGTAACATTTGATATTTGGTTTTTGTGTACATGTTTTGCTGTACTTTGTCGCTAGTGGTGTCTTGATTTGGTTTATTGATTTTTGTCGCTACTAGCATGTTTCGTGCCCTTTCCATGTCATTTGGTACTTTTTGCCAGTTTTTTTCATCATCAACATTTTCATTCAATGATTTAGGCTCTTACGGTACTGTTTACAAGGGTCGTGAAAAAGACAGCAATGCCATTGTTGCAATGAAGAAGGTGCACATGGATCTGATGGATGCTGGCTTGCCGCAATCTTATTTACGGTAATATGACAAAATGACTTTGAACAATGTGATTTTCTAATTTCCGTCTTCACTGGATGACATTCATTTATAGGGAAATATCGGCGTTGCAATCATTGCGTCATGAGAATATCGTACAGTACGAGGGCATTGTGTGGGAGAGTAATGATCACATTTACCTCATTTTTGAGTATATGACGACTGATTTGCGCAGCTACATGGATGAATTCGCACCGTACGGACTAAAATTGGCTGCAGTACGGAGCTATTTATATCAAACGGTCAAAGGATTGGAAGCATGCCATAAACAAGGGATTTTGCATCGTGATCTAAAGACTGAAAATGTGCTAATCAACAAAAATGGTGTCGTTAAGGTTCGTTGTTCATTGTTCGTCAAAATTGGCTAAACTTACGAGAAAAACAGTGCTAAATCCAACGAATGCTTTTAAACAGATCGCAGATTTTGGTTTGAGTCGAGCAATAAGCGTTCCGGTGGGCTTGCGTTATTCGACTTGCGTCGTCACTCTGTGGTATCGAGCACCCGAGATATTGCTGGGACAAAAGGGCTACTCGACGCCAATTGATATCTGGTCTCTTGGATGCATTTTTGCCGAAATGATCAGTGGCCATGAGCTGTTTACTGGCGATTCAGAAATCGATCAAATTAACAAGATTTTTTGGTAAGCACACAACTCATACATTAATCTTTTTAATAAAGTCGATCAGAACTATTTGGAATGTTTGATCTAAACCTATTGTTCCATCTAATAATTTGGATTTATTGAAAATTTCTCATGTGAATGTTGGTTTACGATTCAGTATTCTAGGAGAGCCCACCGAAGAAATATGGCCACATGTGACTTCTTTACCGTATTTTCGTAAATTTTCCGATCTCGAAGTACCATGCCTTGAAAAGAAGATTCTACTACGTGGTCCAGGCTTCGACCTTCTCAAGATGATGTTGACGTACAACCCGAATAAACGGATCTCGGCAAAGCGAATCCTAAACCATCAGTACTTCAAGGATTCGATTAAAATGTATCCACTGTTACCATATTCAAAGTAGCCTTATCGATGTATTATTTTACAAATTGTACCATTGGACAAAGGATCTTATTTTAATGTTGATTGTAGTATTTTATGTGTTCAATTGAATTGTTTAGATTTTAGGCGCAAATATCGGAAACATTCATTTATTTCATGCCAATTCTGTTCAATTCCAAAATGCGCTCTATTGTATAATGTCATAAAGACTATATTCGCAGTATTTTCACTGAGTCGGGCTTGTGTTTCGGGCTAGACTCGGAGTGTGCCCAACAGTACCATGCACTAAAATATCCAATTTAAAATTATAAGTAATATGTTTTGATCATTGTTTGCTGTTGAAAATGAATAACGAAATGAAAAATTGTCAAAATGTTTGCATTCATCAAAATCTACATAACAAAAACGAAATCGAGTGTTTTAATACAAGCATCTAAGTGGCGCCACTGTGCGGCAAATCTACGAAGTACGTAGCCATTTTAGCGCCGTACCAACATTGATTGAAGCTGTCAGTGCATTTGTTGTCGTTCTCTTTGAATTTTGCGAGGCAAATTAACGGACGCGCTGTGTCAACGACACCTTTTCATTTGCTATTCCGAATGTTGAAAATAATTCTTTTGTCTCGTTTCGCCCAAATTAATTCACATTTCCGTTACACATATGCAGTTATTCGATTTATCGTAATATCAACGCATTGAAAAGTGATAGATTTACAAGTACCACAATTTTCGTATAATTACAGTGCATCAGTTCAAAGGCAACAGCAGTGAGGTTATACGAAAGTGTCGTAAAATATTGAGAATTTTTCCTAAAAGCCAATTCATTGTTCGTCGGAATAATAGAGAAAAATTGCACAAAAATGGAAGATTTTGTGAAAATTGAAAAGATCGGAGAAGGTAAATGAGTCTGTCGCATAAATCATTGTGCAATGTACACCGAACACAATATCGTGTGGAATTTTTACGTGTACGAAAAAAAATCACCTGTTTCTCAATTTATTCATTAGGCACTTATGGTGTTGTATACAAAGGAAAGAACCGACAAACAGGTCAGATCGTAGCAATGAAAAAGATTCGTCTAGAAGCGGACGATGAAGGTATCCCTTCAACAGCAATTCGGTGGGTATTCATGTGCTGATCATTGTGTCAAATGATCGGATGACCATGGAGTTCAATTGTCATAACATATTTTTTGTGTGTTTTATCATCAACAGTGAAATTTCGTTGCTGAAAGAGCTAAAACATCCGAACATTGTGAAATTAGAAGACGTTTTGATGGAAGAAAATCGTCTTTATCTGATATTCGAGTTTCTATCAATGGACTTGAAAAAGTACATGGACACATTGCCACAGGACAAACTCATGAAGCCCGAGCTGGTGCGTAGCTACCTGTATCAAATCTCGGCGGCTATGCTGTTCTGCCATCAGCGCCGTATTTTGCATCGAGATTTAAAACCACAAAATTTGCTCATCAATCGTGATGGCGTTATTAAGGTAAATTGATTGGTGTTTCAACAGCCAAAATTGCATCATCTCGAAATTTAGTATTTAAACCATTTTCCTTTTGAATAGATTGCTGATTTTGGTTTGGGCCGTGCATTCGGTATCCCAGTCCGAGTCTACACACATGAAATTGTGACCCTCTGGTATCGAGCCCCCGAAATTTTGCTCGGTTCACAGCGCTACTCATGCCATGTAGACATTTGGTCAATTGGCTGTATATTCGCGGAAATGGCTACGCGCAAACCATTATTCCAAGGCGATTCAGAAATCGATCAACTGTTCCGCATGTTCAGGTATATACATTCGATCAGTGTGTTCAGACAATTTCAACACAGAGTGTATGCATTCGATCCATCTATTTTCACTTGCTTTTCATTTTGTCTTTCCCTCTCTCAGAATTTTGAAGACACCAACCGAAGATATTTGGCCCGGTGTGACATCATTGCCTGACTACAAGGAATCATTCCCATGCTGGACGCAGAAGCAACTGCGCGATCAAGTCAAAGTGATTGATAGTGCCGGCTATGATTTGCTAGACCAAATGCTCACATACAATCCAGTGCATCGCATTTCAGCGAAACGAATTCTCGAGCACAAATTCTTTGAAGGATTCGACAAACAACTGGTACCCACAATGTAAATCAACTCGACGGCTCACACGATCAACTACGATAAAAAAAGAAACACATGAAAACATTGGCACGAAATATCAATTTAACGAGAAAAAAAACACTGCAGAAAATGCATCGTTCTATTTAATTTAGGAAACTTGGTCAAAACAATTAAAATCGGTTTTGTTACGTATAAGTAGTAGGCGATAAGCAATGAATTAAGTGAAAAAGAGAGCAGGAGCTAGAATCCTTGACTAACAATTTTCTATACGGCATGAAAAAAAGAAGACATATTCATAGTACATAGATTGAAAACAGAGAAATCATGGGTCCATCACAACAACACGAAAATCTCCAGATAATAAAAACAATAACATTTCTTATTCTTATAATCATTGCTAATGTTTTATTGAAATATGTCACATCACCATTGGCAATTAATGGTAGAATGGTCCAGAAAATCTATACATTTGCATCATTTGTGGTATTTTACTCGTCGATTGCATAGTAAATGTGCCTCATAGCCCAGCCGATACATGTTACTGTGCTTCATATTCCTTGACTTCTTCGTAAATCAGATTCTTCCATTGCTGAACAGTACACACATGTTCTTCTACACTGTGATCATAGGTATTGAGTGCGGGCTACAATAAAAGATATGCAAGATGTTATATTTTCAACCATTGTACTTATTCATCAATGAATAACTTACTGCATTCACTACGCATTCATTGTACCAGGCATTTATATAGGTGTGATCGAGTGCTTGATCGACAGAAATCCTCTGATCGGGATCAACTACCAGCATGCGACTAAGTAAATCCCTCGCTTCAGTCGCAGTCAAACAGCCATGCTCTGTCGAGTCATCCGGGAATATTTCGTCAGGGAATAATGTATTAAA